TAGGCGCCCATAATGTCATCTGAAGATCCAAGTGAGCATTCTGTGCATGGATCTGAACATGCCAGCGCTCACCATGATGAATACCATGTTCCGAATCCGTTCATACAGCAGATGACTGGACTGTTTCAGCAAATCGTTCAAAATGTGATCCCGGCTAATAACGGAGATGCACGGGAGTCCATTACGATCGAGAAGCTAAAGAAGAATGGCGCCTCCATTTTCTTTGGAAAAAGGGGGGATACTCCGGAAATTGCTGAATTTTGGCTTGAGCAAACTGCTCGAGTCTTAGAAGACTTACAAGTGCCGATAGCCGATCGCCCACGGCATGCTATTAGTTTGCTGCAACATGGAGCCTACGATTGGTGGAAATCAGTACTTCTCAGACCTGATCTACCGAGACCCGTCACGTGGGACTACTTCCAGGAACGCTTCATAGATCAATTTGTCCCGGCCTGGTACCAAGAAGAACGAAAACGACAGTTTATGGATCTGACACAAGGATCCATGACGGTGGCAGAGTATGCATATGAATTCCTTCGCCTGAGCAAGTATGCTCCCGATATGGTAAGAATGGAAGCTGACAAGTGCCGGAAATTTGAGTATGGGCTTAATGAGGAAATCGCTGGGCAGGTGGTTACCTTACGCCATGTTAGCTTCACGTTGCTTGTGGGGGCCGCTCAAAGTTTTGAAGGGTGGCGCAGAAGAAAGACCACCAGGGGGACATTTTCTTACTCAGCACCGCCAATGAACTCGACGGGGAAGAGACATGAAAGTGGAAAGGGAAAATCTCAGAGTCGATATAATGAATCATCTCGTGCCAAGTCCACGTCTGGTAGCAACAAACCTCGACCACCGGTTTCTCATGTCAAAAGTGTCCCGCTATGCTCGTTTTGTGGCAAACACCATATCGGTGAATGTAGAAGAGCCTCCGGAGCTTGTTTCCGTTGTGGCCAAAAGGGGCACATGCTCCGAGAATGCCCTTTGCTTGTCACGGGTGATGCCTCTTCAGCTCCAGTCCGCCCCACTCAACCCCCACAGATGAGCCAACAAACTCGTATCCAAGGCAATGTTGGGAGCAACTCTGACACGGTAAACAGGCCTACACAGGGTCGTCCCCAGGCTCGGACTTATGCCATGCAGGCTAGAGAAGAGCAACCAGAGAATGATGTCATTATTGGTATGTTCACCCTTTTCAACACTGATATATCTGCTTTAATTGATCCTGGTTCCACACATTCCTATATATGTGTCTGCCCACCTTGTTTAGATGAATATCCAAAATAACATCTAGACATCCAAATGGAGGTGTCCACACCTTTAGGGAGAAGTATTATTGTTAATCAAATATACCGACACTGTCCTTTAGAGGTTCAAGGGAAACAATTTAATGCAGATCTCATTGAATTACCCTATCGAGAATTTGACGTAATTCTTGGTATGGATTGGCTCTCTAAGCATAAAGCTATAGTCAATTGCCAAGACAAAACATTACTACTTCAAACTGAGCAGGGTGATACTATTCTTGTTCCCGGAGAATTATTTCCGAGGCCACCTCAACTCATTTCTGTGATGCATGCTAAAAGGCTTATGCGTAAGAAATGTCAAGCATATCTAGCATATGTTCGTGACACTCAGAAAGAAGCTCAATTAGTACAAGACATCCCTATTGTACAAGATTTTCCAGATGTCTTTCCCGATGAATTACCAGGTTTACCACCATCTCGAGAAGTGGAATTTAATATCGAACTAGTTTCTGGTACCACTCCAATTTCAGCAACTCCTTATCGAATGGCTCCCGCTGAAATGAAAGAATTAAAGGCACAACTTCAAGATCTCTTGGATAAGGGATTTATCCAACCTAGTGTGTCTCCATGGGGCGCACCCGTTTTATTTGTGAAGAAAAAGGATGGTTCCATGAGACTATGCATTGATTATCGGCAACTAAACAAAGTGACTGTGAAAAATCGTTACCCGTTGCCGAGGATTGATGATCTCTTCGACCAACTCAAGGGAGTCAAAGTGTTCTCAAAAATTGATCTTCGTTCGGGATATCATCAGCTGCCCGTGAAAAAGGAAGATGTACCAAAAACTGCGTTTAGAACAAGATATGGACACTATGAGTTTTTGGTTATGCCTTTTGGATTAACCAATGCTCCTGCCGCATTCATGGACCTAATGAACAGAGTATTCAAGCCCCTTCTAGACCAATTTGTGGTTGTATTTATTGATGATGTTCTGGTCTATTCAAAGTCTGAGGAGGATCACAAGGAACATCTTAAGATTGTGTTAGAAACACTACAAAAGCACAAACTCTATGCCAAGTTTTCGAAGTGTGAATTTTGGCTTGATCAAGTAACTTTCTTGGGTCACGTCATTTCAGCAGATGGCATAAGAGTTGATCCCACAAAAATTCAAGCCATTACAAATTGGAGACCACCTCGAACTGTGACGGAGGTCCGAAGTTTCCTGGGATTAGCAGGTTATTATCGTCGCTTTGTTAAAGACTTTTCCTTGATAGCTTCACCTCTTCATAAACTCTTGAAAAAGAATTCACGCTTTGAATGGGCACCCTCTTGTCAAGAGAGTTTCGATAAACTAAAGAAGGTTCTCACAGAAGCTCCGGTACTTGTTCAACCGGTATCTGGTAAGGACTTCACCGTGTATAGTGATGCTTCTCATAATGGCTTGGGATGTGTATTAATGCAAGAAGGAAAAGTGATCGCATATGCCTCGAGACAACTCAAAGAACACGAGAAGAACTACCCCACACATGATCTGGAGTTAGCCGCTATTGTCTTTGCTTTAAAGATATGGCGACATTATCTTTATGGGGAAAGGTGTTACATCTTTACCGATCACAAAAGTCTGAAATATCTTCCGACGCAAAAGGAGCTAAATTTGAGGCAAAGGCGTTGGTTAGAATTAATCAAGGATTATGATTGTGTAATCAATTATCATCCAGGGAAAGCTAACGTTGTGGCAGATGCTTTGAGTCGGAAAACTCTAGCTGAATTACATCTCAAACCTTCACTTCAAGAAGAAATCATAACAGCTCAAAAATCTGATGATCAGTGCCTTCAAATAGTGGAGTCAATTTCTAAAGGGGAGAAACCAGATTTCACTAAACAAAGTAATGGTGGATTGTGCTTTAAAGGACGTTTGGTCATTCCTAATGGATAGGTTAAACAAAGAATTCTTAAGGAGTCACATGAAACAAAATACTCAATGCATCCGGGAAGCAACAAGATGTATCGAGATTTGAAGAATCTATACTGGTGGTCCGGTATGAAACGTGATATCACTGAGTATACTTCTAAGTGTCTCACTTGCCAACAAGTTAAAGCTGAACATCAAGTTCCATCTGGATTGTTACAATCCATTACAATACCAGAATGGAAATGGGATCGGGTAACCATGGATTTTGTGGTGGGATTACCTTTGACACCAAGGAAGAATGACTCAGTTTGGGTAATTGTGGATCGACTTACCAAATCTGCTCATTTCATACCCATTCGAAGGGATTTTTCCTTAAACAAGTTGGCAGAATTGTATCTCCAAAAGATAGTCCGATTACATGGAATACCGTTATCCATCATATCCGATAGAGATCCAAGATTCACTTCTCAATTCTGGAAAAGCTTGCAAGAGGCACTTGGTACGAAATTGAACTTTAGCACAGCTTTTCATCCTCAGACAGATGGTCAATCTGAAAGAGTTATTCAAATTCTTGAGGATATGATGCGAGGGTGTGCTATTGAGTTCAAAGGAAGTTGGGAGAAATACTTACCTCTTATGGAGTTTGCATACAATAATAGCTATCAAGCTACCATCCAGATGGCGCCATACGAAGCTCTGTATGGTCGTAAGTGTAGAACTCCGGTCTGTTGGACAGAGCTAAGTGAAAGAAAGACTATTGGGCCAGATTTGATTCAAGAAACAGAGGAGAAGGTCCGGTTGATTCAACAACGACTCAAGGAAGCATCAGATAGACAAAAATCATATGCTGATTTAAAGCGTCGTGATATCGAGTATGCTATAGGAGAAAAAGTTTTTCTGAAAGTGTCTCCTTGGAAAAAGGTATTGCGTTTCGGAAAAAGGGGTAAGCTAAGTCTGAGGTTTATTGGACCTTACGAAATCACTGAACGTATTGGTCCTGTAGCCTATCGACTAGCATTACCATCAGAGCTGAGCCAAATACATGATGTTTTTCATGTGTCAATGCTAAGAAGATATAGATCTGATCCTTCACATGTACTAACACCCGGAACTGTGGAGCTTGATAAAGATTTAACCTATGAAGAAGAACCTGTACAAATTCTGGCTCGAGATGTGAAGGTGTTAAGGAATAAAACGGTTCCCTTAGTCAAGGTTCTATGGAAGAACCACACCACAGAAGAAGCAACTTGGGAAACCGAAGAAGCAATGATGACCCAGTATCCATATTTGTTCAACAACGTCAACTAAGGTAATTTCGAGGACGAAATTCTTTTAAGGGGGGGAGAAATGTAACGCCCCAAAATCCGGTCTAGTAGTTAAGATACATATGAATAAATTACTTTATAATATTTCTCCTACTTCATGTAAATTGAAAATATAATTTATTTAAAATAGTATTAATAATAAAATAAAAGTACAATAGTACACACTCTAACACTATTCTAAGACATTTAAACTATACTAGAAAGAAACAATACGTGTCTCAATTATCAAATGAATTGAAGTTTCGTATTATCTAAATAGGAATTTGGTCAATTTTAAAATATATTATAATAATCAAATATCTTCAATTAATGAGGAATGGGCAGCCACCTAAAAGTCTACTCCATAATAAATTTTACACGTTCAATAATAAGCCAACTAGCCTCACCAATATTGAAGGAATAGTTGCTCAATAATTATGTCCTCTAATAATTTTATCTACTACGTCGTATATGAATTAACATGGCTATCTCACACTATATATAAATAGCTCTCTATAATCCCAAAACTTTAATTCCATGCGGCCAGACAAAAATAGTCCTAAAATACGTATTACTATATACTATTATATATCAACTGGGAAAAGTTGAGCAAGTAGAAGAGATAGGACCAATTTGAAGAAAATAGCTTCGGGTCCAATATTACTAACGTTTCTCATATAAGGTCCGTACGCTTTCTGTTTCATTTTCCTAAAAAGTATTTTATTAGTATTAATCCGTCCCCGTTACATTATGGGGATGTTGAAATTCATATATGATCATAGTATTTTATCTGCTTAAATTATGCGTTCATGATCATAATATTTTATCTGCTTTATTTATGAGTTATCTAAAATATGGGAGCTTTTATTCTGTAAGTGCTAAATTGATACTCACTATAGTCAGTATAAATATAAGTGTAAAGTTTAAGGAGAAATAAGATTTAGTGGTAATAACATTGGGTGATTTTAAAATAGACTAGAATAATTGTAATTATGTTTAGTGTATGTACGTATACATATAAAATTATATATTTTAAAATGAAGTTGCGCGAGGTGCTGTTAAGATATGTTTATAATATATTAAAAGTAAATATACCGTATATTTTACATGTGCATATCTTTATAGATATATAAAAGGAATCCTAAATATATGAATTTCGTGAATATGTATATAAATAAAAAACATAGTATCTTTAGTTGACGGGAGTATATATAAATGCACGTATGATTAATTCATATTTTAGTTCAGAATGTATACCTAAATTAATATTAAAATAAGTATTATAAATCTGTAGTTCAAGAAATTATTAATATATATATGTATATATATATAAATAAATAAATAAATAAATATATATATATATATATATATATATATATATATATATATATATATATAGAGCTCTTCTCATCAGGCCGGCCTGACGGGCTGCCCCGTCCGGCCGAGCCCGTTTGGGCACCTTCCCGGTGGAATTTTTTGATGAAATTTTTTGAGCATGTTCCTCATCAAGTCTAGTTTGTCCATACCAAATTTCAGCTCAAAATTCGATCGGGAAGGTCGTCAAATGATTTTTGCAAGTTAACTGGTCCGGAAAATACATATTCCGGACCAGTTAACTTGCAAAAATCATTTGACGACCTTCCCGATCGAATTTTGAGCTGAAATTTGGTATGGACAAACTAGACTTGATGAGGAACATGCTCAAAAAATTTCATCAAAAAATTCCACCGGGAAGGTGCCCAAACGGGCTCGGCCGGACGGGGCAGCCCGTCAGGCCGGCCTGATGAGATGATTTCTCTCTCTCTCTCTCTCTCTCTCTCTCTCTCTCTCTCTCTATATATATATATATATATATATACTGAATTATTCCTGTCCGGAATTTCCGGACAGAGCCCCGTCCGGCCTCCTCCGTTTGAGTCAGTTTCCGGTGGTATTTTTTGCTCAAATGTTTATTTGTATGTTCTTCATCAAGTCTAGTTTATCCATACCAAATTTAAGCTAAAAATTCAATCGGGAAGGCAATCAAATGATTTTTGGAAGTTAACTGCGTTTTATATGTATATAAAGTGCGCAGTTAACTTCAAAAAATGATTTGATTGCCTTCCCGATTGAATATTTAGCTAAAATTGGGTATGAATAAACTAGACTTGATGAAGAACATGCAAAACAAAATTGAGCAAAACCTACCACCGGGAAACACCCCCCCCCCCCAAAAAAAAAAGGAGGAGGCCGGATGGATCTCCGGTCAGGAATTTCCTGATCGGAAGATTACTCTCTCTCTCTATATATATATATATATATAATTGTAGATAAATTTATAGGTTATACAAGTGTTGAGTGGGATAGAGGGGCAGCTGCTCCCACTTAATATATGTCCCAACTTACAATAAGAAAGAAGGTGACAACTCCGGTACCTTTCTAAAAACAGAGGTAAAGATACGGTAGACCACATCAATTTTAATTTAGATTTAAATTAAAATTTAGATTTAAGTGGACCACATCACTTTATCAATTTTAATTTAGATTTAAATAATTCAACTGCTACCTTTTCATTGGTCCATGTGGACAAAGATACGGTACCTTATGGGTACCATAGAAACTACCAAGAAATAAACTATAGAACATCATAAAACTTTGAAAATCATGACTAAAAGTAATAAATTGCAAAACCCAAAGCACTCAATCTCCAAGGTTTTTCGGATCAACCAATTATGCATGGACAACTTGATTAAGGAAAATGAAATGGAGCCCGGGACCCCTATTTACTGTTACTTGTGAGTTTCGATTAACCGGCCAATCCTGGTTCGTTTTTTTTTTTTGAAAAACAAATCTTGTCTGTGGTAAATTAATTGGTAATTCCAATATTTATTATAATTGTATTATTGAAACAGAATTGCAGCAATGAAGTAGTATATTTAGATAGTTTATTTCAAATTTAAAACTATTACAAATATCAATGCATTTAATTAATGCACTAGACAAATTACCCGTGCGATGCACGGGATATATCTAGGGTAGAATAATAACTTAATTAATATTACATCGCAATGTCGTAGATATAAAATTTTAGTTTTTATTATAGAAGAAATATATAAATACTGTAACTCGTATATATGTCTTAACTCTGATTATATAATGTTATTTTATAGGCAGCATTAGAATGGATTTTACACAAATCTAGCAAGCAAGTAAAACAGAAATGAGTGTCTGTGATGTAAGAATAAAATCAATGTGAATGAAAAGGCGTGATAGTACACTTTGTAGTATTTTATTTATAGGACATCTAGAATTTCTATGAAATAGGACGTTCATTTATTTCAACGGTGTACAGAAACTATATACTCCGTATTAAAGCTACGGAGTATGAGAAGCATCTTTGTAAATTACACTTTTAGTGGTGGCAAGTGACAACACCTTACTTTTACAGTCAGATATAATAATCTCCAATTAGTTCATGAGGAGAAATTACATGTGTTGAATTTGAAAGGAAGTCTTATGTTCAACATGATCATAAATAATCTTGGAATGAAAAAATGGTGAGTATTATCACCGAGTATAACATCTGCCTTTAGAAGACATTTATTCATTCGTGTAACGATTAGGTCTGTCCCATTATGCAGTCAAGATAATAAGATAATTGGTCGGGTTTCTTATTAGCATAAGAAAAACCCCAGTATTACACTTATAATTTGCCATTTTTTTCGATGGTTGGAGTTGGTGGTGATGGGAGTTGTTGAGGCGGCAACAGAGGCCTCTGCATTTTTATACTTTTTACGCTTTTATTGTTTTATTTTATTTTATTTTTAGTTTTTGTTTTTTATTTTTTTATTTTTCTATTTTTTTTTTATTTTTATTAATTTTATTTAATATTTATTTTTGTGTTTTTATACATCTTCATTATAAATAAGTTTACGTTATTACTTTTATATTTTAATTATTAATGAAATATGAATTGTATTAAAACAGAGCTATGGTAGATTTGGAAAGCTAGTCCTATTTAGAGAATTTTAAAGTTATAGTCCTATTTTGGCAATCAAAGTTGCTTTTATTTCTATTTGGAGAATTCCCCTTTTTATATTCCCATTTAATGTGATAAAATTCTATTACCAGTGTTAGGACGACCTAGACCTTTACTTAAATTTATTAAGTAAACCAAATAAAAAGTTACACTATATATAATGTATATTATTATTAAATTAGCACACAAATTTAATTTGTTGTTATCGTGTGTTCTTTTAATTCTATTAAGTAACATTTACGACGTATATGGTATTTCGTCCATCCCACCGAAATTCTCCCGTTTTCCTTTTTTAACCATCTCACTAAGATTGTTACATATCAAATTTAATAACGTGTGTGTGATTTAAAGTCACTATTACTTTGTAATAGTAATATATTGTGGTTATTTTTGTGGTGTTGTTAATTTGTATCACCATGTTAACAAAATTGTTATATATATATATTATCGAAATATAACTTATAAAAATGTTATTAAAGTTACTCTAAGTATATTGTCAGAATTACTATGGTATAAAACTAAACATGATCAAATTCACTGAAGTTATTATACTCTCGTCCCTTATAACTTTGTCAAATTTCACTTTTTGTAGTCTCACTAACTTTCCACTTCTCCTACTAATTAAAGAAATTGTGATTCCTGGTAATTATCTCTCTTCTGCAGAAACTCAATCACACAATTTATACTTTATTATTTATCATGCTTGTCAAACATGGTCAATTTTTAAGGGATGGAGAGAGTATTATATTTATTGAAGTATAAAACATTAAAAAGCGACAATTTTATGTAATATTTCAATCATAGTTGAATTTTACACAAATATATACTACTTCGTATGATCGTATGTTAATTTTTTAATGAAATAATTATTTGAAATTTTAAATATTGCAAGTATGTATTTTCTATGGCAAGTATGTACTTCATATGTATTAAATGTACTTTTTATTGGGGCGGCACTTTCTATGACAAATCTGAATTGATAAACTTGATGTTTAACATTTAATGCTTAATTTGGCCGGATAACTTTATATGTTAATAATATATTTTACATTTAATACTTCACAACTCCACTATATATTTACATATTAATTACTTTTTGGGCGGGAATTTTCCCTCCATTATCTGCCCCAACTCTGTTACTTTATATTATATAAAGATTACTAAAATGTTGGCATAAGACCGTATCGGATTTGAAAATGATATATAACATTTGAAAAATTAAAAATGGATACAACACTTTTTTATTGTTGGCATCAACGGCGTACATGAGTGTTTAGTGCTCGACAATGGTGACATTGTGCATAGAGAAAATTAATTTGTAGTGTTGTTCTTAATGAAAGTGTAGTTAATTAAAATTGCAACAGAGTTAGTGAACGAAGACTCCATGAATAACGAAAAATGTTAGATTGGGATTTGGTAATGTGTATGATAGCTCACCGATAAATCGTGGGCGGTATTGTAAAGATAAGGCCAGGGCCGGTCCTGGGGCATGGGCAGGAGGGGCATGCGCCCAGAGCCCTTTACTCCTGTAGGGCCCATAAAATTTTAAAATATGTGTGTATGTATGTACATAAATATTGAGATTTTTTCTAAATTAATGCTCAACAAAAAAAGTATTTATCAAATTCATGTTGAGTTAAAAATATTTCCGAATGTACTGTTGG